ATTTTTACAGCATATCGCGATGCATAGTAGAACTGGAATACAACTTATACAGCATACCGTGATGCCCAGTAGAACTGGAATACAACTTATACAGCATATCGCAATGCATAGTAGAACTGGAATACAATTTAAACAGCATACCGTGATGCCTAGTAGAACTGGAATACCACTTATACAGCATATCGCAATGCATAGTAGAACTGGAATACAATTTAAACAGCATACCGTGATGCCTAGTAGAACTGGAATACAATTTATACAGCATATCGTGATGCCTAGTAGAACTGGAATACAATTTATACAGCATATCGTGATGCCCAGTAGAACTGGAATACAATTTAAACAGCATACCGTGATGCCTAGTAGAACTGGAATACAATTTATACAGCATATCGTGATGCCCAGTAGAACTGGAATACAATTTAAACAGTATACCGTGATGCCCAGTAGAACTGGAATACAATTCATACAGCATACCGTGATGCCCAGTAGAACTGGGAATACAATTTAAACAGTATACAATGATGCCCAGTAGAACTGAGAATACAAATTAAACAGAATACTGCGTTGCCTAGTAGAACTGGGAATACAATTTAAACAGTATACCGCGATGCCCAGTAGAACTGAGAATACAAATTAAACAGTATACCGTGATGCCTAGTAGAACTGAGAATACAAATTAAACAGTATACCGTGATGCCCAGTAGAACTGGAATACAATTCATACAGTATACCTTGATGCCCAGGAGAACTGGGAATACAATTTAAACAGCATATCGCGATGTCCAGTCGTGATACCCAGTCGGGTATATTCGTCACACAACACCTCGCTACCCCTAAGTCTAGACAATACAACAGTCGGGTGTATTCGTCACTCAACACCCAGCTACCCCTAAATCAAGACAATACAACAGTCGGGTGTATTCGTCACACAACACCTAGCTACCTCCAACTCTAGACAATACAACAGTCGGGTGTATTCGTCAGCCAACACCTCGCTACCCCTAAATCTAGACAATACAAGTCGGGTATATTCGTCACACAACACCTAGCTACCCTTAAATCTAGACAATACAATAGTCGGGTGTATTCGTCACACAACATCTAGCTACCTCCAACTCTAGACAATACAACAGTCGGGTGTATTCGTCACACAACTCTTCGCTATCCTCAAATCTAGACAATACAACAGTCGGTTATATTCGTCACACAACTCCTCGCTACCCCTAAATCTAGACAATACAACAGTCGAGTGTATTCGTCAGCCAACATCTAGCTACCTCCAACTCTAGACAATACAACAGTCGGGTGTATTCGTCACTCAACACCCAGCTACCCCTAAATCAAGACAATACAACAGTCGGGTGTATTCGTCACACAACACCTAGCTACCTCCAACTCTAGACAATACAACAGTCGGGTGTATTCGTCAGCCAACACCTCGCTACCCCTAAATCTAGACAATACAAGTCGGGTATATTCGTCACACAACACCTAGCTACCCCTAAATCTAGACAATACAATAGTCGGGTGTATTCGTCACACAACATCTAGCTACCTCCAACTCTAGACAATACAACAGTCGGGTGTATTCGTCACACAACATCTAGCTACCCCTAAATCTAGACAATACAACAGTCGGGTGTATTCGTCACACAACTCTTCGCTATCCCCAAATCTAGACAATACAACAGTCGGTTGTATTCGTCACACAACTCCTCGCTACCCCTAAATCTAGACAATACAACAGTCGAGTGTATTCGTCAGCCAACATCTAGCTACCTCCGAATCTAGACAATACAACAGTCGGGTGTATTCGTCACGAAACTCCTCGCTACCCCTAAATCTAGACAATACAACAGTCGGGTGTATTCGTCACACAACACCTAGCTACCTCGAACTTTAGACAATACAACAGTCGGGTGTATTCGTCACGAAACTCCTCGCTACCCCTAAGTCTAGACAATACAACAGTCGGGTGTATTCGTCACACAACACCTCGGTACCCCTAAATCTAGACAATACAACAGTCGGGTGTATTCGTCACACAACACCTAGCTACCCCTAAATCTAGACAATACAACAGTCGGGTGTATTCGTCACACAACACCTAGCTACCTCCAACTCTAGACAATACGACAGTCGGTTGTACTCGTCACACAACACCTCGCTACCCCTAAATCTAGACAATACAACAGTCAAGTGTATTCGCCACACAACACCTATCTACCCCTAATTCTAGATAATACAACAGTCAGGTATATTCGTCAGACAACACCTAGCTACCCCCAAATCTCGACAATACAACAGTAGGTATACTCGTCAGATATCACTAACATTGAATAATTAATGACAGGTGGGATTTGCGGGGTGTCTGTTGCCATAGCAACATCTAATACGAGGCAACGGAACTACGGGTGAAATGTTGATTAAGAAACTGACCTACAAGTATTCGGGGCTTGGATTTTGTGTTGGAGACACGAAATATAGAGTCACGGCCAAACCGTGATCGGCGAATTGCAGCATCACGTACAGAGCCAACCACTGGACAGCGAAGGACGACGGACACCATGTCATGACGCCACACAATCAGGGGGCCCTCCAAACTTCCGTCAGGTCATTCATGAATAAAGCTGATGTTGAGATTTGAAGATGCTGAGATCTCTGCACGACATCACTGGAGCGTTGACTAGAGGCCCTACATTCCAGTGTGCATTAATAACGCTCATTAACCCTTCATACTCGGTGCGCGCCGTATCAGACCAGGACAAGCAAACATTCACCCTTTTGAGTCTGACGTCTAATTGGAACACTATAGTCCTCGCCACTTGAAATAGAATCGTGAGGATTAAGTAACGAAGACAGCTGCCTGTGTGTTAATACTTATAAAGTGAAAACAAACCATTCCGCTGATGAGAGATCTTAATTACAATAATGACAAAATTTTGCAAACTGCGCTTTTCAAGACTTTAGGGACACCCCCTGTATAGTTACGGCGGGGAAAGCTGGGAGGGAGAGGGGAGGAGGCGGGGTGGCATTCGGCTGTGAATTGTAAATTGTATTTCCTCTAATAAACAACAAGGAGAGATTTTAGAGATCAAGCGGAAGTGTAAATTTAGATGACACTTCGATAAAACAAAGGCTTTTTATTTTAAATAATTATTCGGTAATTATGTTCCGCTTTAGTGCATCGGATTTTGACAGACGTCAAATCTCTTCAGTAGTCACCAGACCTATGACATGCCGCCGATATTTATGTAAGCATGGCCTACAATCCACACCAGGCCTATGACATACGCCCGACCTTTATGTAAGCAGGGCCTACAATCCACACCAGGCCTATGACATACGCCCGACCTTTATGTAAGCAGGGCCGACAATCCACACCAGGCCTGTGACGTACGCCCGACCTTTATGTAAGCAGGGCCTACAATCCACACCAGGCCCATGATATACGCCCGACCATTATGTAAGCAGGGCCTACAATCCACACCAGGCCCATGACATACGCCCGACCTTTATGTAAGCAAGGCCTACAATCCACACCAGGCCTGTGACGTATGCCCGACCTTTATGTAAGCAGGGCCTACAATCCACGCCAGGCCTGTGACGTACGCCCGACCTTTATGTAAGCAGGCAAAATAGCGATATAGTACATGAAGAACAAAACGTACGCTCATCTTTTTGTGTTAGTAATTTTTAATTCTTAGTTTATTTTTGTTTGCCCAGTTTCAAATATATTCAGAATATTAAGAAAAACAAGGAAGATATTCTGTGACATATGGCGACTGCCGGTATACAGGACATGAGGTGTGTATAGTGGCAGCTGAACATCTCGCTCCCGACCCCCCAGACAGCAGATCAATATACGTACATCCTCCCCCCCCCCCCCCCCCCTCTCTCTCTCTTCCTCCACCCCCACCCCCCCAGACAGCAGATCAATATACGTACATCCTCCCACCCCCCCCCCCCTCTCTCTCACTCTCTTCCTCCACCCCCACCCCCAGACAGCAGATCAATATACGTACATCCTCCCATCCCCTCTCTCTCTCTCTCACTCTCTTCATCCACCCCAACCCCCCAGACAGCAGATCAATATACGTATATCCTCCCATCCCCTCTCTCTCTCACTCTCTACCTCCCTCGCTCTTCCCCCTTCTCCCCCCCCCCCCCCCCCACACACACACACCCCATACGTACATCCTCCCATCCCCTCTCTCTCTCTAGTTTCCTCCACCCCCACCCCCCAGACAGCAGATCAATATACGTACATCCTCCCATCCCCCCTCTCTCTCTCTCTCACTCTCTTCCTCCACCCCCACCCCCAGACAGCAGATCAATATACGTACATCCTCCCATCCCCTCTCTCTCTCTCTCACTCTCTTCCTCCACCCCCACCCCCCAGACAGCAGATCAATATACGTATATCCTCCCATCCCCTCTCTCTCTCACTCTCTACCTCCCTCGCTCTTCCCCCTTCTCTCCCTTCACCCCCCCCCCCCCCCCCCCCCACACACACACACCCAGACAGCAGATCAATATACGTACATCCTCCCACCCCCTCTCTCTCTCACTCTCTTCCTCCTCGCTCATCCCCCCCCCCCCCCACACACACACACACACCACCACCACACACACCCCAGACAGCAGATCAACATACCTAATATATAAAAGTATATCGATAATATAATTGTTATACCCTATTCTTATTCCTAACAACGTGTGATACATATTATCATAACTCCCCGTACATCGCTAAACACATACCTCGTATTCCCCTCCTGAACAACGTGTGATATATATGTTCATAACGCCACTTGTTCAGGAATATGCACATCCATGTCAAGTCATAGTCTCAGTATTTACATGTTGTATTTCAGCTACCTGTTGACGTCAGAGTGTGTCTGTTCACTAGACCATGAATACATTATCGTAACCTAGATTCAACACGTTAACCCGGCGCTTACATTTCATCACAAACAAAGACTTTCGATACTTACCTGGGACCATACGTCCTGTATCCGATACAGCAAAAGTCCTAACCCCACACGTCCATTTGAATGTATCAGCGTTATCGGGGTGGATTGTCCGGGTGTGACACAGCTTCTTCCTGCATGGTGATATGTACCCCGCGAACCAGGCCAGCGGGTGCTGTGTGAAACATGAATGCACCCGTTTACGACTCGAGACGGTGGGCAGTGCAAGGAGTCTAGTCTAATCTAGCAGTGTGTGGAGCTGTGGTTGCTAGGCTACACGAACTGTCATGGCGGAGGTTCTTGAGAACACATTCATGCTCAATAACTGGTTTTTGAGGTCAATATGATTTATGTGCAATTGTGTTTGTTGTTCCGCCATGAGATAACGCTCTGAAGGTCGGGTCACACATTTCGCAATGAGTCAAAAGTAACGCGTGCATCCACATAAACGCGACTAGTGACACATGTACAGAGCCTATCAATAAACCACGTGGCATGATATCTCGTCATTAGGTGTATGTGTTACAGGAAATATGTATAATCAGGGAATATGTGTTACAGGAAATATTTATAATCAGGGAATATGTGTATTCCCTGAAATTTTCAGGGAATATATTTAATGTCTGATTCACTCAGGGAATATACATAATCCCTATTTTTTTCAGGTATTATACATATTCCCTGATAAAAAAAATCGAGAAGACAAATTTAATTGACATGATAACAAATACCTTTCACTTAACTTAACAATTAATCTTAACTGTAACCAGAGGGCACTGGTGGCCCAGTCGTCTAAGGCGCCGCGATTCGCTGTGCAGAGCTGCGTCCCTTGGCCACGCCAGAAACCTATGGTTGTGGGTTCGAATCCCGGTTCGCCTCGATTATGTTTCTAGGTTTGTCAGCACCATAACCGCGCTCGTGGGTTTCACCGAAGTGGTAAACGTCTGAGACCTGCATCACTTCGAGCTTTCCTCCCACATTAAGCTGACACGCCGTGATATAACTGGAATACTGTTAAAAGCGGCGTTAAAACCAACTCACTCACTCACTCACTTAACTGTAACCAAAACATAGGATAGAAATGAGATTAAAATACTGTAAAGCGTGAAATTAATGCGTCTCCAAAAGAATGCGACCGCTGGCCCGCTGAAATACTTCAGTGTGGTGATGTACAAAAACTGATGTAGAGAACGCCAACAAGAACAGGAAACTCCAGTTTACTTTGTGACCATTGAAGAGACCTTTGACGTCATCAAGAGGGTACATGTTGCTACTGGCCTTGGTGGTAGAGACAAGATGGTCAAGGAAGTCAACAAAAAACATGCAAACGTCACACAACATTCCCTATCTCTCTACAAGTCTATGTGTATTGAGTGCCAGCGACAGCGGAAGAGGCCAACAACAAAAGAGACTGTAGTTAAACCTAGTGTTACCAAAGACTTTAGCTGCCGAGCCCAGGTAGATCTAATAGATATGCTGTAAATGAGACAAGGGAATTAATTTCAAGTGGATTATGGTGTACCAGGATCACCTTACTAAGCTCTGTGTGCTGAGACCACTTACCTCCAAACGTGCTTCTGAAGTCTAAAAAACTTGATGTTAAATCAGGGAATATGAATAATACCTGAGCATTTTAGGGATTATGTATATTCCCTGAGTGAATCAGACATTAAATGTAATCCCTGAAAATTATACATATTCCCTGATTATACATATTCCCTGATTACACATATTCCCTGATTATACATATTCCCTGATTACACATATTCCCTGATTATACATATTCCCTGATTATACATATTCCCTGATTATACATATTCCCTGATTATACATATTCCCTGATTACACATATTCCCTGATTACACATATTCCCTGATTATACATATTCCCTGATTATACATATTCCCTGATTACACATATTCCCTGATTATACATATTCCCTGATTATACATATTCCCTGATTACACATATTCCCTGATTATACATATTCCCTGATTATACATATTCCCTGATTACACATATTCCCTGATTATACATATTCCCTGATTATACATATTCTCTGATTACACATATTCCCTGATTATACATATTCCCTGATTATACATATTCCCTGATTACACATATTCCCTGATTATACATATTCCCTGATTATACATATTCCCTGATTATACATATTCCCTGATTACACATATTCCCTGATTACACATATTCCCTGATTATACATATTCCCTGATTATACATATTCCCTGATTACACATATTCCCTGATTACACATATTCCCTGATTATACATATTCCCTGATTATACATATTCCCTGATTATACATATTCCCTGATTACACATATTCCCTGATTATACATATTCCCTGATTACACATATTCCCTGATTACACATATTCCCTGATTATACATATTCCCTGATTATACATATTCCCTGATTATACATATTCCCTGATTACACATATTCCCTGATTATACATATTCCCTGATTATACATATTCCCTGATTACACATATTCCCTGATTATACATATTCCCTGATTACACATATTCCCTGATTATACATATTCCCTGATTACACATATTCCCTGATTATACATATTCCCTGATTACACATATTCCCTGATTACACATATTCCCTGATTATACATATTCCCTGATTATACATATTCCCTGATTATACATATTCCCTGATTACACTTATTCCCTGATTATACATATTCCCTGATTACACATATTCCCTGATTACACATATTCCCTGATTATACATATTCCCTGATTATACATATTCCCTGATTATACATATTCCCTGATTACACATATTCCCTGATTATACATATTCCCTGATTATACATATTCCCTGATTACACATATTCCCTGATTATACATATTCCCTGATTACACATATTCCCTGATTATACATATTCCCTGATTATACATATTCCCTGATTACACATATTCCCTGATTATACATATTCCCTGATTACACATATTCCCTGATTATACATATTCCCTGATTACACATATTCCCTGATTATACATATTCCCTGATTACACATATTCCCTGATTATACATATTCCCTGATTATACATATTCCCTGATTATACATATTCCCTGATTACACATATTCCCTGATTATACATATTCCCTGATTATACATATTCCCTGATTACACATATTCCCTGATTACACATATTCCCTGATTATACATATTCCCTGATTATACATATTCCCTGATTACACATATTCCCTGATTACACATATTCCCTGATTATACATATTCCCTGATTATACATATTCCCTGATTACACATATTCCCTGATTATACATATTCCCTGATTATACATATTCCCTGCTAATACATATTCCCTGATTACACATATTCCCTGATTACACATATTCCCTGATTATACATATTCCCTGCTAATACATATTCCGTGTAACATATACTCCTACATGCATGGTTTACGGGATAATCTGCCAGGACCCGTACATTGTATCCAAGCACCACAAGTGACTGCAAGTAGAAGTACGATAGTGGAATGTAATGTGAGACCATGAGTTTTGACAACCCAATCTGTCGGATATCGACTGTGTTCAAAACGCGCCGACAATTTCGCTGATATGGTTTTGTTTGAGTGTGTACATGCAAGCCAGTAACCTATTTTCTTATTGCCTTCAACTTAGTTAACACTTATTTTGTTGTTGAAAAGTACAGTGGGATTGAACAAGGGCTGGGACAAGTCCCAATTTACTACCCGGGTACCCGACCCCCTATTACCTGCCCCTGCCCTGCCCGGGTACCCACTGAAGGTCTCAAGAGTGAGTGAGTGAGTGAGTGAGTGAGTATTGTTTTACGCCTTTAGCAATATTCCAGCAATATCACGGCGGGGGACACTAGAAATGGGCTTCACACGTTGTACCCATGTCGAGAATCGAACCCGGATCTTCAGCGTGACGAGCGAACACTTTAACCACTGGGCTACCCGACCGTCCCCGAATGTCTCAAGAGTTGGGACTTGCTTTACTGCAGCCCTGGCCAAAACTATTTAGATATAAAATTATGTATCAATCAACAGATCATGTGTACACTGGAGTTAAATGAAGCTTTATCTTAACTCAAACATATACAAGTCAACAGGAATGAATTCATCGTCAGAAAGAAATACGAACTTTAGCAATTTGAATCGTAACCACTGAGCTACAGTGTGTTGTTGACATTAAACAATATATCACATGACTAACCACGTGTCCGGGTAGTCCTGTGGGTACCCGGATCCTACTCAGAAACCATCCGACCCGAGTACCCGAGTTACCCGTCCGAGCCCAAGATTGAACAAAGTGATTCGCTTACGGACTCGTGGCTCTCCCCCACAATGTCACAGTGAAATATTTCATATTATTGAATTTTTACTACTTTGTTTGTTTGTTCATCGCCGCACTGAGCAATAATCCAGCAATAGTTCGGCGGTCTGTGAATAATCGAGTCTGGACGAGATATCCAGTGAATGATATCATGAGCAACGATCTACGTAATTGGAATACGATGACGTGCATCAACCGAGTGAGCGATCCTGACCATCCAATCCCGTTAGTCGCCTCTCACGACAAGCATTGTCGCTTTTACGGCAAGCATGGGTTGCTGAAGACCTATTCTACCCCGGATCTTAACGGGTCTTACCTTAACTTACATGGATGAGGAAGACATTTTGGATGACGATGCTTTGGCCTTGCTGGAAGAAAAAACTGATGTTTTGGCTTTGACGAAATACGAATTTGAAAGAGAAATTAAATTCGGCTCCGATAATTTGAAGCAGAGAAAAGCTGAACCAGAGAAAAATTCGGTTTAGAAATTTTTAAGCAGCGAAAAAAAGAAGAGATAAAATTTCGGCTTAAAGAAATTGAAGGTGAGAAAAGAAAAACAGAATTGAAGCTGAGAATGAAACATAGAGATTGGAAGGTGATAAAGAAATTAGGAGAACACGACTTTGGCTGATGATAATTCGCTAACTCACAGGGCTAGCTGTAGTTTTAAGCAGTCAGTGTCACCAGACAGGAGTTCACAGGTACACAAACCAAGAAGGGATTATATCTAGTTCTAACAAGTCTGGATCTGAGTTTGTTGACAAAAAGTCGAGTTCTCCTCCAGTCGGTTCTAACAATACTTCTGGATTCCCGTCAGAGCCCACTTGTATGTAGTGCCGCAAGCCAGGGCATACCCTTTCTGAGTGGAGAAAGCTCGCTTTCAGAAACAGTCATTATTCCCCGAATGCTTTTGTGAATGTCAAGTCACAGCCTTTTGTGGTGCGGCTAGTGAGAAGTTAACTGTTGTTGACCTGTCATCATTGTCTGTTGTTGTGAGAGGGGAGTACTTACCTTTTGTTGGTAAATGCTTTTTGTCAGCCTAAGGTGACAGTTCCAATGTTACGCCCATTACCGATGTGAGGGATACTATGGCTCTTCAAACTCTGATGTTGGATGGTATTTCGCCACTTTCTGGGGAGTCATTAGCGAAATATGAGTGAGTGAGTATGGTTTTACGCCGCTTTTAGCAATATTCCAGCAATATCACAGCGGGGGACACCAGAAATGGGCTTCACACATTTTACCCATGTCGAGAATCGAACCCGGATCTTCGGCGTGACGAGCGAACGCTTTAACCACTAGGCTACCCGACCGCCCCTCAGTGAAATGTGAGGTTTTGTTAGAGGGTTTATGTGGTTGTGCCTCTCCATTTTGTGAACATGAAGACAGATATGGTGTCTGGGTTGGTCAAGGTGGGGGTTGTAGAAACTTGACCTGTTACAGGTGTAGACGTGCTCATTGTGTGTATTTTTCTTTCGTGTGTTACTACTCGTGCTGAGGTTAAGCCATGTTCTTCTTAGAATGCGCCCAGTTTTGTTATGGATCAGTCTCTTGACCTGTCTAAATATTCGAGGGAGACTACTCAAACATGACAGTTTGGCTGTTGGGGAACCACTTCTTGGTAGGGAAGTTAGTTCAGTTACAGAAGGAGGGCACTCTCTCTAGAAGGAGCTGACATGGTTCCAGTTTGCTGTTTCAAGGGTAGCGTTTTGATGAGGAAATGGAGGCCGTCATATGTACCGGCTGATAAAGAATGGACGGTTTTCCATTAAACTGTTCTTCCAAAATCATATCGAGGGCATGTTTTGAGTTTGGCACCCCTTTGGTAGGTCGTTTGGGATAACAATTTGTCCCGTTTTTTTTGCCTAATTTGCGGCCTGGCCCGGCTGAATTTATCAATTTCGACCATATTAATGAATAGCAACGGGCAAAAGAAACGCCATCAAACAAATGTCTGGTCTGAAACAAATCAGACGCAAAATATTGTAACAGTTGATGTCTTATTATAAAAAAAACCCCTATTATTCAAAAACGGTATTTGAAAATGACAAGATCAAAAACCATGTACTTAAAGTTCTGCAGACACGTTCATCATGCTGGGTGCACTGTCCAGTATTACATCACACCCGCAGAATCGACGTCGATCTCTTTTAAAGTCCCGTGCTACACACATGGCTCAGTATCGGATGTGACCCCCTCCAGCAACGATGCAGGCCCTTACACGACGTCGAACTGTGTACACGAGTCTCCTGACATCCTACCACTCTTCCTGCACGGCAATTGCCAAGGCATCCCGCGTCAATGGCGACTGTTGACGACCATTATTTATCAAATATATATATATATATATATACAATCCCAATACACAAATCCCAAGATGAGCATTACAGTTTACTCAACTGAATGTGATTTTCAAGAGTCACAATATATATATGTATATGTTTTTGTAGCAAATTGCGAAAACCAGCAGATGATGACACGCCGTGATTTAACTGTAATGCTGCATCAAGCGTCACTCACTCACTCACTCATTGTGCAGCTGAGCATGTGGAACACTGACGGTGATACAGAAGGCTGGAGTGGAATGTGTGGTCGAAGAAAGTGATTTTACGTGCTCCTCAAATGGATGTTGTCATGGTTTTGGTTGGTTTGTTGTTTAATGCCGCACTCAGCAATATTCCAGGTATATGTCGGCGGTCTGAAAATAATCGAGTCTTGAGCAGACAATCCAGTGATTGACATCATGAGCATCGATCCACGCAATTGGGTTCAATGACATGTATCAACCAAGTCAGCGAGCCTGACCACCCGGTCCCGTTAGTAGCCTCTTACGACAAGCACAGTCGCCTTTTACAGCAAGCATAGGTTGCTGAAGACACGGATCTTCAAGGGGTTTTGTCATGGAGGTGAGGTGAGGTTAGGTGAGGGGAGGATGGGTTTAACGTCGCGTTCAAGACTGTTGCACTTTTTATAACGACGGGCATGCACGTGTGTGTGTGTGTGTGTGTGTGTGTGTGCGTGTGCGCGCGCGCGCTTGTACTATTCCGGACTGATGCCGATTTATAGTGCTAGCACACTGAGATACCATGCCGCAGTTTAACATGAATAGCCCTCTCAGTCACAGTATACTGACTCTTTAATTCCGTGCGCCAGGCATGGTAACAACAAGTACCATCCTTCAGTCTATTTTGGTATGACACGGCCAGGGATTGAACCCCGACCTTCGATTTTTCCGGACAGACACTCTATCCACTGTAACATGGTAATACTTTCCCTGGGGTTCAAGCGTACATTAAAGCTGATTAATGTAAAGTGCATGGGATATGATACAAGTACGGGGCACGGGTGGCCCAGTCGTCTTAGGCGCCGCAATTCACTGTGCAGAGTTGCGTCCCTTGGGCACGCCAGAAATCTATGATTGTGGGTTCGAATCCCGGTTCACCCCGATTATGTTTCTAGGTTTGTCAGCACCATAACCGTGCTGGTTGGTTTCACCGAAGTGGTAAACGTCTGAAACCTGCATCACTTGAGGCTTTCCTCCCACATTAGGCTGACACGCCGTGATATCATGGCAATACTGTTAAAAGCGGCGTTAAACCCAACTCACTCACTGATACGTTGAGCCAATAAAAAACAGCGCAAATCCGGCTCCACGACACTTCCCTCTGAATAAATGGTTGGTTCCTGACATATCTCCCCTGTGTATCATAATGGTATCCTCATTCTGCAAGCTCCCCGTGTATCTCGTGAGAAGCCATGGAGCACGTGCTGCACGCGCATGACGTCATATGTGACCTTATCAGCGTCTAGTGTGTGGGACAAGGATACTGCTGAGATCGATCAGTCTGAGTTTGTGATGAATCCAACTGACCATGTAAGTATTAGTTTTATAATCACCTCAGCGTAATATCCGTCGGCGAGGGGACTCGGGCGAAGAGTTCAGTCCCTTGGGCCTTCCAGGATCCTAGGATCGTGGCATGCTTATATATAAACGATGTGTTTAAACATAAATACTAAACTTTCTCAACGTATATTATTGCTGTCAGCTCGTACGTCTTACGGTACGTACTGTACTGAGTATGGTTTTACGCCGCTTTTAGCAATATTCCAGCAATATCACGGCGGGGGACACCAGAAATGGGCTTCACACGTTGTACCCATGTCGGGAATCGAACCCGGGTCTTCGGGGTGACGAGCGAACGCTTTAACCACTAGGCTACCCGACCGCCCCTCTTACGGTACGTGGTTCCCACCAACGCTATATAAGTAGGATTTCTAATTAATGCTTCTTATTTTTTATTTGAACCATATACCACTCAAATATTTCAATTTCAGAACCGTTAGGATCCGGGTTTAAATAGGTCTTCGTCAACCTATGCTTGTCGTAAGAGGCGACATACGGAATCGGGTGGTCAGGCTCGCTGACTTGGTTGATACATGTCATCGTATCCAAATTGTGTGGATCGATGCTCATGATGTCAGTTACTGGATTGTCTGGTCCAGATTCGATTATTTATAGACAGCCGTCATATAGCTGGAATATTGCTGAGCGCGCCGTAAAACATCAAACGAACAAAAACTAATAAAACAACAACTTCCGCTTCCACTGAGGCCGAATCAAACCAGCGGATGTGTGGCCCGACACAATCAGCTTGGCTTTTATTGAGTTGTGACCTGACAATTAACCCCTATGACTATGTATGAGGGGGGCGGTCAGGTAGCCTAGTGGTTAAAGCGTTCGCTCGTCACGCCGAAGACCCGGGTTCGATTCCCGACATGGGTACTATGTGTGAAGCTCATTTCTGGTGTCCCCCGCTTTGATATTGCTGGAATATTGCTAAAAGCGGCGTAAAACCATACTCACTCACTCACTTTGTATGAGGTCCGCCCACTTGCGCCTACCATTGTGAAGTAGTACGAGTTCAATAGCACATGGTAAGTGCAGATTGCGAGGTACCCGATGACTGTGGTAACGATGAGAGCGAACCCCTTGTTTGAGAGAAACCCGTAAGTTTTCTCCAGAACCTTCATAATTCAAATCAATTTGGTCATGTTATAGATACTGCCTAGAGTTGGCAGTTTTGACAAACATGCGAATTGTGTACAAACTGGCGAACAGCGCACTGGTCGAATTCGTCAAGTTGGGATTTGATCAGTGTCTTGGGCTGATGAAACTCTCGCCTTTGTGACAAACGACACCTTCTGCTCTGATGCACTTGACGGCATCAATATATTTTATGTGTTTCTAATCTCCAACAATTCGTGACCAACTCGGGTTTTCCCGGGACAAGCCGAATAGCGACTTTCGTGGCCATTTTTGCAACCGGGTTCCGTCTTAGCGCAAACGGGCATACCTAAAACCATGACGACGCAAAACGGTAGAACAACAGGGCCGATGATCTCGTCGCGGTAGCGCTGTCCATTGAGATTTCCCTCTACCGGTTATTTCTTTGGTATTGAACTTCGATCAAACGACTTCTAGAGAATTCTGGTCACACCGACCTCTTAATAGTCTTATGATATTCATGTTTACCTTTGGCTGCAGCGTGTGAGAGCGCCCTCTAGCGGTAGGATGAGAATCCTTTACGCCGGAAGACAAGCACGCCGAAATCGTAAGTACGGATTGTCTCCCTTGTATAGAGACGAGTGCAAGCTCCTCACAGCCTTTGTGGGAATGATGCGGTAAGGATGACGTCATTGGCCGCTCCAAGTCAGTATAATGTGTGTGAGTGGGGTATCCATGTGAAACTCTGGCATGACGATGATGATGATGACTCGGGTTCGATTCCGAGATTGGGTATAATGTGTGAAGCCCATTTCTGGTGTCCTCCGACGTGCTATTGCTAAAAGCGGCGTAAAGTTATACTCACTCACTCACACTAATATAAGGGAGACCGTTTATAAGTAGAGACATAAACCTGGTATTTACGGTATTGACAGTTGGGAGATAACACGGCCGTGTGTAGAATGTGTTCACTCACCGTGACGGACATTGCTGGCTGCTCGCCTCAGTCGCCTAGCAACCTCACCAACGCGGTCTCAGATTGTGACAACTGGTAGAGGCGACCTGACCTTGGGAGATAGGGTCCACCCCCCTGTACATTGGCTGTGGCAGTGGCATGTCCCCTGCAGTTCCCCTCCAGGACGGGGTGGGGAGGCAGTGGCAGTGGCATGTCCCCTGCAGGTCCCCTACAGGACGGGGTGGGGAGGCAGTGGCATGTCCCCTGCAGGTCCCCTACAGGACGGGGTGGGGGTACAGTGGCAGTGGCATGTCCCCTGTAGGACGGGGTGGGGGTACAGTGGCAGGGACATGTCCCCTGCAGGACGATAGGGGGTACAGTGGCAGGGGCATGTCCCCTGCAGGACAGGTGGGGGTGCAGTGGCATGTCCCCTGCAGGACGGGGTGGGGGTACAGTGGCAGTGGCATGTCCCCTGCAGGACGGGGTGGGGGTACAGTGGCAGTGACATGTCCCCTGCAGGACGAGTGGGGATACAGTGGCAGGGGCATGTCCCCTGCAGGACGGGGTGGGGGTGCAGTGGCAGGGGCAGGTCCCCTGCAGGACGGGTGGGGGTACAGTGGCAGACTCGTGTCCCCTGCAGGACGAGTGGGGGTACAGTGGCATGTCCCCTGCAGGACGGGTTGGGGGTACAGTGGCAGTGGCATGTCCCCTGCAGGACGGGTTGGGGGTACAGTGGCAGTGGCATGTCCCCTGTAGGACGGGGTGGGGGTACAGTGGCAGTGGCATGTCCCCTGTAGGACGGGTGGGGGTACAGTGGCAGGGGCATGTCCCCTGCAGGACGGGTGGGGGTGCAGTGGCATGTCCCCTGCAGGACGGGGTGGGGGTACAGTGGCAGTGGCATGTCCCCTGCAGGACGGGGTGGGGGTACAGTGGCAGTGGCATGTCCCCTGCAGGACGAGTGGGGGTACAGTGGCAGGGGCATGTTCCCTGTAGGACGGGGTGGGGGTACAGTGGCAGTGGCATGTCCCCTGTAGGACGGGGTGGGGGTACAGTGGCAGTGGCATGTCCCCTGTAGGACGGGGTGGGGGTACAGTGGCAGTGGCAGGTCCCCTGCAGGACGGGGTGGGGGTACAGTGGCATGTCCCCTGCAGGACGGGTTGGGGGTACAGTGGCAGGGGCATGTCCCCTGTAGGACGGGTGGGGGTACAGTGGCATGTCCCCTGCAGGACGTGTGGGGGTACAGTGGCAGGGGCATGTCCCCTGCAGGACGAGTGGGGGTACAGTGGCATGTCCCCTGCAGGACGGGGTGGGGGTACAGTGGCAGTGGCATGTCCCCTGTAGGACGGGGTGGGGGTACAGTGGCAGGGGCAGTCCCCTGCAGGACGAGTGGGGGTACAGTGGCAGGGGCATGTCCCCTGCAGGACGGGTGGGGGTGCAGTGGCAGGGGCAGGGGCAGGTCCCCTGTAGGACGGGTGGGGGTACAGTGGCAGGGGCATGTCCCCTGCAGGACGAGTAGGGGTACAGTGGCAGTGGCATGTCCCCTGCAGGACGGGTGGGGGTGCAGTGGCATGTCCCCTGCAGGACGGGTGGGGGAACAGTGGCAGGGGCATGTCCCCTGCAGGACGAGTGGGGGTACAGTGGCAGTGGCATGTCCCCTGTAGGACTAGTTGGGGTACAGTGGCAGTGGCATGTCCCCTGCAGGACGAGTGGGGGTACAGTGGCAGTGGCATGTCCCCTGCAGGACGGGTGGGGGTGCAGTGGCATGTCCCCTGCAGGACGGGTGGGGGAACAGTGGCAGGGGCATGTCCCCTGCAGGACGAGTGGGGGTACAGTGACAGGGGCATGTCCCCTGCAGGACGGGTTGGGGGTACAGTGGCAGTGGCATGTCCCCTGCAGGACGGGTGGGGGTGCAGTGGCATGTCCCCTGCAGGACGGGTGGGGGAACAGTGGCAGGGGCATGTCCCCTGCAGGACGAGTGGGGGTACAGTGGCAGGGGCATGTCCTCTGTAGGACGAGTGGGGGTACAGTTGCAGGGGCATGTCCCCTGGAGGACGGGGTGGGGGTACAGTGGCAATGGCATGTCCCCTGTAGGACGGGTGGGGGTACAGTGGTATGTCCCCTGCAGGACGGGGTGGGGGTACAGTGGCAAGGGCATGTCCCCTGTAGGACGGGGTGGGGGTACAGTGGCAGTGGCATGTCCCCTGCAGGACGAGTGGGGGTACAGTGGCAGGGGCATGTCCCCTGTAGGACGGGGTTTGGGGTGGGGGTGGGGGTACAGTGGCAGGGGCATGTCCCCTGCAGGACGAGTGGGGGTACAGTGGCAGGGGCATGTCCCCTGTAGGACGAGTGGGGGTACAGTGGCAGGGGCATGTCCCCTGTAGGACGAGTGGGGGTACAGTGGCAGGGGCATGTCCCCTGCAGGACGAGTGGGGGTACAGTGGCAGGGGCATGTCCCCTGTAGGACGAGTGGGGGTACAGTGGCAGGGGCAGGTCCCCTGCAGGACGAGTGGGGGTACAGTGGCAGGGGCATGTCCCCTGTAGGACGGGGTGGGGGTACAGTGGCAGTGGCATGTCCCCTGCAGGACGAGTGGGGGTACAGTGGCAGTGGCAGGTCCCCTGCAGGACGGGGTGGGGGTACAGTGGCAGGGGCATGTCCTTTGGAGGACGGGTGTGGGGTGCAGTGGCAGGGGCAGGTCCCCTGCAGGACGGGATGGGGGTGGGGGTGCAGTGGCAGGGGCATGTCCCCTGCAGAACGGGGTGGGGGTGGGGGTGGGGGTGCAGTGGCAGGGGCATGTCCCCTGCAGGACGGGGTGGGAGTGCTGTGGCATTTATAATGTTTATTTGTGATTGATCAACTGAACGAATACATACCATGGAATGTGCACGTGACATTGGCTCTTGTATTGTGTTCACTCACTCCCTCTGTGAACACAGGGGGGCTGCTGGTGTATATCACGGAGACCTCACCCAGTTCACGGGGAGCTGTGGACACTATTCCTAAACATACTGCAACCGATACTAAACTCTGGTAAACAATGGATGATATGATTTTGTATCCAATTACCGTATCACAATAGGGCCCCGTGAAGACACGGGTGTGGAATAGGTCATCAGCAACCCATCCTTGCCGTAATAGGCGACTAACGGGATCGGATGGTCAAGCTCGCTGACTTGGTTGGTGCATGTCATCGTATCCCAACTGCGTTGATTGATGCTCATGACTTCAGTCACTGGATTGTCTGGTCCAGACTCGATTATTTCCAGACCGCCGTCATATTGCTGGAATATTGCTGAGTGCGGCGTTAAACAACAAAGAAGAATAAAACAAACAAGATTAGAATCCACATTCACAGTTATGATTCTCGGGTTGTCGGCAAACTCGTGTTTGTGGGTATCACCTGAGTCGTACCAGTATCACTTTGGGCGTCCCCATACATGAAGCGGACTCCCTCCATATATTGTTTAAAGCGGCGTTGGGGCGGTCGGGTAGCCTTGTGATTAAAGCGTCCGCTCGTCACGCCGAAGACCCGGGTTCGATTCCCTACATGGGTACAATGTGTGAAGCCCATTTCTAGTGTCCCCCGCCGTGATATTGCTGGAATATTGCTAAAAGCGACGTATAACCATACTCACTCACTCACTCACTTAAAGCGGCGTAAAAACAAACTCACTCACTTACTCACTCACTCACTCTTGTTTCAGCAGCTTATGCTATTGGTGTCTTCGTCCTGCTTGTCTTTGCGATGATGGAGAACCACCTGCACAGCGAGTCCTATTCTGAAACCGACACCTCCGAAGTGAGGGTTCTCAGCGTCAGGGATTCCCCAGGCCGACACCTGAAACACGAGGGGATGCACCCGGCTCGTGACGTCAGAATACCAAGTCTCGGAAAATCTCGGCCTCGTCGTTCAGCAGTGAAAGCACCCCGAAAAAGAGGAAATACAACTGTATCAAACAGTCTCCATGGCAACAACCTGAATCACAGAAGACACAATTGGCAGGAAAAGCCAATTTTAACGATCAGGTTTGACGGTCGCCTTGGCAACCAAATGTTTGAATACGCTGCAGTTTATGCAATAGCTCGCAAGAAAAAAATGAAAATATTTCTGACGAGGAATCACCAGTTGAATAGAATATTCCACATTGACGAGTCGGTGATTGTAAGAAAACCTTGCGGCAGCTTCACCAACGTCAACACACCATGCTGTGGTTACTACCCCACTGCGCTGGACAGAATACGGAACAATACTTGTCAGCGTGTGTTCGGCTATTTTCAATCATGGAGGTATTTTGAACCGCTGCTTAGAAACATCAGACGTCAGTTCACTTTCAAACACAAAATCGTCCAGACGGCTGATGCCAAACTGTGGTCAATAGTTAAAAGACACAAGAACTACCCCTTCAAACACGCCACACGTGGACGTTGTGTGCTCACGCATGCGCAGTCTAAAACAGGCTCGTGTACATTTATTGCCCTCCATGTGAGGAGAGGTGACCTCATGCTGCCAATCCGCGTCAAACAGGGCCGACGTGCCGCTCCCAAACAATTCTACCTCCGCGCCATGGACTATTTTCGGCGTCTTTATCACAATGTATTGTTCATTATCGGAAGCGATTCGCAGCAGTGGGCCGTGGAGAACTTTGCTGGACCGGATGTGATTGTGTTGAAAGACATGTTACCGGAAGTGGACATGTGTATTCTGAGCCGATGTAACCACACCATCATGAGCGTGGGAACATTCGGCTGGTGGGTTGGGTTTTTAGGGAGGGGTAAAACGGTGTACTACGACCAACCCTTCAAAAATCACAGCGAGACCTCGGCTTTGTACTCAAAATACGAGAAGGACTTCATCCGACCAGGATGGATTGGGATGAGCTAGCCTTAGAGTTGTCTCCCTTATGTGGTGGTGGATGCTAAGCGTTGATTGTTTCTTCACTGAAGTCGATGTGGTGGCAGCGTGGAGAGTACCGAGGTCTCGTGATCTAGTTGATGAAGCGTCTCATGGTCTAGTTGATGAAGCGTCTCATGGTCTAGTTGATGAAGCGTCTCATGGTCTAGTTGATGTAGCGTCTCGTGTCATCAAGAGCCCTTTGAAGATCGATGGCCGCGGTCAGTGACTGCTCCACTTTGACGTGAACGTGTATAAACAAGAAGCATTTTGGTAAAAATAAAAATACTGTCGTCGTCAATGCAGTGTTTACATTAATGTTACGTTGAGGCCGCCTCCGTGGTCTAATGGTAGAGCGTCCAGTCGAAGGGGGAAGGTCCGGGGTTCGATCCCCGGTCGCGTCATACCAGAAGACGTTAAAAGATGGTACTTGTTGTTACCCTGTGTGGCGCTCGGCATTAAGGGGCTAAAACAAGGACTGGTCGGCTCGGAGTCAGTATACTGTGTCTGAGTGGGGTATTCATGTTAAACTGCGGCATGGTATCTCTGTGCTAGCACTATAAATCATCATCAGTTCTGACCAGAGCATACACGCAGACACAGACACACAAACACACACGTGCATACACGTCGCAATATAAGTGCAATAATCTTGGACGCGACGTGAAAATCCCATTTCACCTCACCACACACACACACCATTTCACCTCACCACACACACACACCATTTCACCTCACCACACACACACACACCATTTCACCTCACCACACACACACACCATTTCACCTCACCACACACACACACACCATTTCACCTCACCACACACACACACCATTTCACCTCACCACACACACACACACCATTTCACCTCACCACACACACACCATTTCACCTCACCACACACACACACCATTTCACCTCACCACACACACACACACACCATTTCACCTCACCACACACACACACCATTTCACCTCACCACACACACACACCATTTCACCTCACCACACACACACACCATTTCACCTCACCACACACACACACACCATTTCACCTCACCACACACACACCATTTCACCTCACCACACACACACACCATTTCACCTCACCACACACACACACACACCATTTCACCTCACAACACACACCATTTCACCTCACCACACACACACACCATTTCACCTCACCACACACACACACACCATTTCACCTCACCACACACACACCATTTCACCTCACCACACACACACACCATTTCACCTCACCACACACACACACCATTTCACCTCACCACACACACACACCATTTCACCTCACCACACACACACCATTTCACCTCACCACACACACACACCATTTCACCTCACCCCCCACACACACCATTTCACCTCACCACACACACACACCATTTCACCTCACCCCACACACACACCATTTCACCTCACCACACACACACCATTTCACCTCACCACACACACACACCATTTCACCTCACCACACACACACACACCATTTCACCTCACCACACACACACCATTTCACCTCACCACACACACACACCATTTCACCTCACCACACACACACACCATTTCACCTCACCACACACACACCATTTCACCTCACCACACACACACACCATTTCACCTCACCATACACACACACACACCATTTCACCTCACCACACACACACACCATTTCACCTCACCACACACACACCATTTCACCTCACCACACACACACACCATTTCACCTCACCACACACACACACACCATTTCACCTCACCCCACACACACACCATTTCACCTCACCACACACACCATTTCACCTCACCACACACACACCATTTCACCTCACCACACACACACACACCATTTCACCTCACCACACACACACCATTTCACCTCAACACACACACACGCCATTTCACCTCACCACACACACACGCCATTTCACCTCACCACACACACACACACCATTTCACCTCACCACACACACACCATTTCACCTCACCACACACACACCATTTCACCTCACCACACACACACACCATTTCACCTCACCACACACACACCATTTCACCTCACCACACACACACACCATTTCACCTCACCACACACACACCATTTCACCTCACCACACACACACCATTTCACCTCACCACACACACACACACCATTTCACCTCACCACACACACACACACACCATTTCACCTCACCTCGTGTTCCACTGTCAAAGATTGATAGGGTGTATAAGACAGATTGCTTTTTGTGCTAGTGACACCCATATATTATAGCGTATATTCCTACCCTGGCATACATTATAGCGTATATTCATACCCTGCCGTACATTATAGCGTATATTCATACCCTGGCATACATTATAGCGTATATTCATACCCTGACATACATTATAGCGTACATTCATACCCAGGCATACATTATAGTGTATATTCATACCCTGACATGCATAATAGCGTACATTCATACCCCGGCATGCATTATAGCGTATGTTCATACCCTGGCATGCGTTAAGCGTACATCCATACCCCGGCATGCATTATAGTGTATATTCATACCCTGGCATACATTATAGTGTATATTCATACCCTGACATGCATTATAGTGTATATTCATACCCTGGCATGCGTTAAGCGTATTGTCATACCCTGACATACATTATAGTGTATATTCATACCCTGGTATGCGTTAAGCGTATATTCATACCCCGGCATACATTATAGTGTATATTCATACACTGACATGCATTATAGCGTATGTTCATACCCCGGCATGCATTATAGCGTATATTCATACCCTGGCATGCATTATAGCGTATATTCATACCCTGGCATGCGTTAAGCGTACATTCATACCCCGGCATGCATTATAGCGTACATTCATACCCCGGCATGCATTATAGCGTATGTTCTGCCCTGGCATGCGTTAAGCGTACATTCATACCCCGGCATGCATTATAGCGTACATTCATACCCCGGCATGCATTATAGCGTATGATCATACCCTTGCATGCGTTAATCGTACATTCATGACCCGGCATGCGTTAAGGGTACATTCGTACCCCGGCATGCGTTACGCGTAAATTCATACCCCGGCATGCATTATAATGTATATTCATACCCTTGCATGCAGTTTAGTGTATATTCATACCTCGGTATGCATTAAAGTACATATTCATACCCTGGCATGCATCATAGCGTACATTCATACCTCGGCATACATTAAAGTGTTTATTCATACCCCGTCATGCGTTACGTGCATTATCCGGATACAATAATACCAGCTCAAGTCGGCTCGTCCTTTACTCGCAACAGGTTCATACAAGTGTAAGTATGCTTCGACTGAATTGGTGTGCTTTGTCAGTCGGCACACCAGGGTGGGAGTAACCATACAGACGGCGTAGCGAGTCTTAAGGAACTTATCTCCGCACCAGTCTCTGTGAGTATAAGCAGTAAGGTAGCGTCCTTGTGACACTCTCATTTTATGTCTCTACAGTGTTGTATGTGTATAGATTGAGTTTTGAAATTGTGACTATATCTAATACCAGGGAAAGGGCACTCTAAGTGGGAAGAACTTGTCTCCAAATCCCACTCGCTTCTGTATAATAGTGACGGGCTGTGTCACAGAGACGGGGTGTGTGTCACAGTGACAGGTGTGTCACAGTAATGGGTTGTGTCACAGTGACAGGGTGTGTGTCACAGTGACAGGTGTGTCACAGTAATGGGGTGTGTCACAGTGACAGGTGTGTCACAGTAATGGGGTGTGCCATAGTGACGGGTGAGTGTCAGTGACAGATTTTTTATCGTAGTGACAGGGATCTGTATCAAATGTGTGATAGTGATTGAGATGTGTGTAAACGTTACGGAGAGGTGTGTGTCCTACTGACAGATGGATGTGTGTGTGTCATTGTGTGACAGTGATGTGTGTCATAGTAACTGTTAACACTCCCCCTTTCTCTCACCACCTAACCCTTTCTCTCACCCTCTAACCCTTTCTCCCGCCCCCTACCCCTTTCTCTCACCCTCTACCCCCTTCTCCCGCCCTCTACCCCCTTCTCCAACCCCCTACCCCTATCTCTCACCCCCTACCCCTTTCTCCCACCCTCTACCCCTTTCTCTCACCCTCTACCCCTTTCTCTCACCCTCTACCCCTTTCTCTCACCCTCTACCCCTTTCTCTCACCCTCTACCCCTTTCTCTCACCCTCTACCCCTTTCTCTTACCCCCTACCCCCTTCTCTTACCCCCTACCCCTTTCTCCCACCCTCTACCCCTTTCTCTCACCCTCTACCCCTTTCTCTCACCCTCTACCCCTTTCTCTTACCCCCTACCCCTTTCTCTTACCCCCTACCCCCTTCTCTTACCCCCTACCCCCTTCTCCCACCCCTTTCCCTCGGCCTCCAACCCTTTCTCTCACCCTCTACCCCTTTCTCTCACCCTCTACCCCTTTCTCTTACCCCCTACCCCCTTCTCCCACCCTCTACCCCTTTCTCCCACCCTCTACCCCTTTTTTCACCCCTACCCTGGCCCACGCCCCCTCCTCATTGTGAAAGAAGTGATTACCACGAGGAAGGTTGTGACTGTTCCCCCAACTATTGTATGCCGGGTGTAGGGAAAAGTGAAATACTTTTTCCAGGTATCGGTTGGCGTGTACAGTAAATCCCCTGTGAGACGCCGGATCCCTGATGGACGGCAGGTAACGACGGCGGATCAAATAGAGGGCAAGTCTCTCACATACGTCGGCTCCTAATAAATGAATGATCCTAACGGAGAGACAATGTTTTCAGTAATAGGCCCCGTTTACGATCACACAAAAGTGTACCTGCATGAGTATATTACATTACTTTACTCACAAACAGACAAAAATAAAATAATAATATTCCTTATTTGTTAACACTGAAAATTACAAGCCTAAATAATGGACAGTTTCAAACTTCTCTGACGTCATACCGTTTGTGAACACGTGTGGTGGGGTGCCTTACGATGTTGATCAAAAATTTACTCCTTACAGCGGCGTAGGCCTCGCAAACAAATAAAACACTGTTCTATAGTTAACCATGAAGGGGATGGTACATTCCTATATCTGGTACTTTCAGTCCTAGGTCTGTCTTCCACATCTCAGTCTAGAGTCAAGATTAATTCTTAAATATGAAGCAAAATCAACACAAGAATAAGTTTCAACAAGTAAATATGGGGAATATGAATGTGATGCTTGTGGTAGCCGACAGTACAGTAGGCGATATACTAGCCCAAATAATCACAAACAGCTGTGTGGTTGAGGCTGATGACGTTTGTTGTGAATTGCATCGACGCATGTACGTTCGTCAGCCAATGACAATGAAATACCATAAGCAAATGTAACATAACAGCTAATAAATATGTACAGTCTGTTACAGTTACTCTTTGTATTTCTAAAATATAGATATCACTTTCCAATATCTGAGATGACATTACATAGTCGTGGAAGATAGAATATTTATACAATATCTGAGATGACATCACATAATCGTGGATGATAGAATATTTATACAATATCTGAGATGACATCACATAATCGTGGATGATAGAATATTTATACAATATCTGAGATGACATCACATAATCGTGGATGATAGAATATTTATACACTATCTGAGGTGACATCATATAATCGTGGATGATAGAATATTTATACAATATGTGAGGTGACATCACATAATCGTGGATGATAGAATATTTATACACTATCTGAGGTGACATCACATAATCGTGGATGATAGAATATTTATACAATATCTGAGGTGACATCACATAATCGTGGATGATGGAATATTTATACACTATCTGAGGTGACATCACATAATCGTGGATGATAGAATATTTATACAATATCTGAGGTGACATCACATAATCGTGGATGATAGAATATTTATACAATATCTGAGGTGACATCACATAATCGTGGAAGATAGAATATTTATACAATATCTGACGTGACATCACATAATTGTGGATGATAGAATATTTATACAATATCTGAGGTGACATCACATAATCGTGGATGATAGAATATTTATACAATATCTGAGATGACATCACATACCAGATAGGTGAAACCTGTACTGGTAATACCGGTGACCAATGCACTCACGGCGAACGTTGCCAGTGACAAATCTGCATAATAAAGAAATAGATATGCAGAAGTGATAGCCTATGATAAAATAATGTGTAAAAATATATAATACAACAGCCACTCATATCAGACATACAACACTCATACACCTGCACTTTCTAAGATACATCACTCAAACATACAGACATACATTTACGTTACATTATTGAACACAGGGGCTTAACATACAATACTTAGTATTAAACTCAAAACCTAAATATATAAAAACTATCTTAAACAGATAATAATGTCTCACTGAACAGTGAGTTCATCAAGAACTATACATACATACACGATATATTATGTTTCTAATCAATCAAATGAAGAATGCATTCCAAAATATATCATTTCTAATCGTAATAATTAGAAATCATCCACTCACATGATGAGAAACCTGACTCAATACGGCAATACATCTATCCGAGTATAAAATCTGTCTTTCCTTGTCAGGTGAAAATAGGAAACTGATGTCTAAAATGTAATATATAAACGTTGAGGTTGTAGCTATGGTCAGCTTGGCCTATCAACGGCACAACAGACTGTGCCGGGGCAAAAAGTGGAATATGAACACAAGGATAAGTTTCAACATGTAAATATGTGGAATATGAACACAAGGATAAGTTTCAACATGTAAATATGTGGAATATGAACACAAGGATCAGTTTCAACATGTAAATATGTGGAATATGAACACAAGGATAACCTTCAACATGTACATATGTGGAATATGAACACAAGGATCAGTTTCAACATGTAAATATGTGGAATATGAACACAAGGATCAGTTTCAACATGTAAATATGTGGCATATGAACACAAGGATAAGTTTCAACATGTAAATATGTGGAATATGAACACAAGGATAAGTTTCAACATGTAAATATGTGGAATATGAACACAAGGATCAGTTTCAACATGTAAATATGTGGAATATGAACACAAGGATCAGTTTCAACATGTAAATATGTGGAATATGAACACAAGGATCAGTTTCAACATGTAAATATGTGGAATATGAACACAAGGATAAGTTTCAACATGTAAATATGTGGAATATGAACACAAGGATCAGTTTCAACATGTAAATATGTGGAATATGAACACAAGGATAAGTTTCAACATGTAAATATGTGGAATATGAATAAAAGGATCAGTTTCAACATGTAAATATGTGCAATATGAATAAAAGGATCAGTTTCAACATGTAAATATGCGGAATATGAACACAAGGATCAGTTTCAACATGTAAATATGTGGAATATGAACACAAGGATAAGTTTCAACATGTAAATATGTGGAATATGAACACAAGGATCAGTTTCAACATGTAAATATGTGGAATATGAACACAAGGATAAGTTTCAACATGTAAATATGTGGAATATGAACACAAGGATCAGTTTCAACATGTAAATATGTGGAATATGAACACAAGGATCAGTTTCAACATGTAAATATGTGGAATATGAACACAAGGATAAGTTTCAACATGTAAATATGTGGAATATGAATAAAAGGATCAGTTTCAACATGTAAATATTTGCAATATGAACACAAGGATAAGTTTCAACATGAAAATATGTGGAATATGATCACAAGGATCAGTTTCAACATGTAAATATGTGGAATATGAACACAAGGATAAGTTTCAACATGTAAATATGTGGAATATGAACACAAGGATAAGTTTCAACATGTAAATATGTACAATATGAACACAAGGATCAGTTTCAAGATGTTAATATGTGGAATATGAACACAAGGATAAGTTTCAACATGTAAATATGTGGAATATGAACACAAGGATCAGTTTCAACATGTAAATATGTGGAATATCAACACAAGGATAAGTTTCAACATGTAAATATGTGGAATATGAACACAAGGATCAGTTTCAACATGTAAATATGTGGAATATGAACACAAGGATAAGTTTCAACACGTAAATATGTGGAATATGAACACAAGGATAAGTTTCAACATGTAAATATGTGGAATATGAACACAAGGATAAGTTTCAACATGTAAATATGTGGAATATGAACACAAGGATAAGTTTCAACATGTAAATATGTGGAATATGAACACAAGGATAAGTTTCAACATGTAAATATGTGGAATATGAACACAAGGATCAGTTTCAACATGTAAATATGTGGAATATGAACAAAAGGATCAGTTTCAACATGTAAATATGTGGAATATGAACACAAGGATAAGTTTAAACATGTAAATATGTGGAATATGAACACAAGGATAAGTTTCAACATGTAAATATGTGGAATATGAACACAAGGATAAGTTTCAACATGTAAATCTGTGGAATATGAACACAAGGATAAGTTTCAACATGTAAATATGTGGAATATGAACACAAGGATCAGTTTCAACATGTAAATATGTGGAATATGAACACAAGGATCAGTTTCAACATGTAAATATGTGGAATATGAACACAAGGATCAGTTTCAACATGTAAATATGTGGAATATGAACACAAGGATCAGTTTCAACATGTAAATATGTGGAATATGAACACAAGGATCAGTTTCAACATGTAAATATGTGGAATATGAACACAAGGATAAGTTTCAACCAGTAATTATGAAGCAATATCAACATAAAGATAAGTTTCAACCTGTAATTATGGAGCAATATCAAGATAAAGATAAGTTTCAACATGTAATTATGGAGCAAATTCAACACAAAGATATGTTTCAACATGCACATATGGAGCAATATCAACACTAGGATAACCTGCAACATGTAAATATGTAGAATATCAACACAAGGATACTTTTCAACCTGTAAATATGGAGCAATATCATCAGAAAGATAACCTTCAACATGTAAATATGTGGAATATGAACACAAGGATAAGTTTCAACATGTAAATATGGAGCACTATCAACACAATGATCAAAGGAATAAGTCTCAAGCACTAGGCAGATAGGTTCCCCGGTCACGGTTCATGGCTGGCTGGTGTCTCCTGATGTCAATGGCTTCTTGTAGTTTTCTTTGTCGCGGTCTGGTAGCCTAGTGGTTAAAGCGTTCGCTCGTCACGCCGAAGACCCGGGTTCGAATCCCGACATGGGCACAATGTGTGAAGCCCATTTCTGGTGTCCCCCGCCGTGATATTGCTCGAACATTGCAAAAAGCGGCGTAAAACCATTCTCACTCACTCATTTACCCACTCAGGATGTGTTCGGAAATAGCAGTTTTAATGTCTAGTTTGTTAACAGAGGTCCGATGTTCTTTGAGTCTGGTGTTGAGGGGTCTAAGGGTTTCTCCATTGTACTGGTGGCCACAGTTGCAACCTACCAAGGCCCTGCCACTTATGACATTTCCCGCCCCATCAAGAACAAAGCCAACATAGATGTCACCTTCTCTAGCGGCAAGGCCAATGGCAAAGGCACAAGCAGCGCAAGTCCCAACCCCCGAGGATGCATATACCGGATACCCTGTAACTGTGGCCACCGGTACATTGGAGAAACCTATTGGAGAAAGCCCCACAACACCTGGTCGCGTCTTCCTCATTCTAAATACTCATGTCACAGACCCTGACCCTGACCCGGTACCAAGCTAGACCTGACTGAGTTTCTTCCGTGCACTCCGTGTGGACCGGTGCTCGTGTTATCAATCACTGGTGTGCAGTCTGCGTCGACACAGCTGATGTATGGAGGACACCACAGAGAAGCATCCACATACTGTAGGCATGCTCCTAGTTTGGTCCTATTATCGAGTATTAAACTGATTGACTTGTGAAAGGCTTGGCACGAGGGCATGAAATGAATAGGTTGGTAATACAGACATTTCCTGTTCATATTTCAGCAGCCGCGGGACGATGGGGCGTTCCAAAAAACGGCTTTGGAAGTACGGTGAGTTTACCCAGTACCCTGCTCCACAACACTAATATGTACACCACGCTGTCACTAACCAGAACACCATGCTGTCACTAACCAGAACACCATGCTCTCACTAACCAGAACACCATGCTGTCACTAACCAGAACACCATGCTGTCACTAACCAGAACACCATGCTCTCACTAACCAGAACACCATGCTGTCACTAACCAGAACACCATGCTGTCACTAACCAGAACACCATGCTGTCACTAACCAGAACACCATGCCGTCACTAACCAGAACACCATGCCGTCACTAACCAGAACACCATGCTGTCACTAACCAGAACACCATGCTGTCACTAACCAGAACACCATGCTGTCACTAACCAGAACACCATGCTGTCACTAACCAGAACACCATGCTGTCACTAACCAGAACACCATGCCGTCACTAACCAGAACACCATGCTGTCACTAACCAGAACACCATGCTGTCACTAACCAGAACACCATGCTGTCACTAACCAGAACACCATGCCGTCACTAACCAGAACACCATGCTGTCACTAACCAGAACACCATGCTGTCACTAACCAGAACACCATGCTCTCACTAACCAGAACACCATGCTGTCACTAACCAGAACACCATGCTGTCACTAACCAGAACACCATGCTGTCACTAACCAGAACACCATGCTGTCACTAACCAGAACACCATGCCGTCACTAACCAGAACACCATGCTCTCACTAACCAGAACACCATGCTGTCACTAACCAGAACACCATGCTGTCACTAACCAGAACACCATGCTGTCACTAACCAGAACACCATGCTGTCACTAACCAGAACACCATGCTGTCACTAACCAGAACACCATGCTGTCACTAACCAGAACACCATGCCGTCACTAACCAGAACACCATGCTGTCACTAACCAGAACACCATGCTGTCACTAACCAGAACACCATGCTGTCACTAACCAGAACACCATGCTGTCACTAACCAGAACACCATGCTCTCACTAACCAGAACACCATGCTCTCACTAACCAGAACACCATGCTGTCACTAACCAGAACACCATGCTGTCACTAACCAGAACACCATGCTCTCACTAACCAGAACACCATGCTGTCACTAACCAGAACACCATGCTGTCAATAACCCGAACACCATGCTGTCACTAACCAGAACACCATGCTGTCACTAACCAGAACACCATGCTGTCACTAACCAGAACACCATGCTGTCACTAACCAGAACACCATGCTGTCACTAACCAGAACACCATGCTGTCACTAACCAGAACACCATGCTGTCACTAACCAGAACACCATGCTGTCACTAACCAGAACACCATGCTCTCACTAACCAGAACACCATGCTGTCACTAACCAGAACACCATGCTGTCACTAACCAGAACACCATGCTGTCACTAACCAGAACACCATGCTGTCACTAACCAGAACACCATGCTGTCACTAACCAGAACACCATGCTGTCACTAACCAGAACACCATGCTGTCACTAACCAGAACACCATGCTGTCACTAACCCGAACACCATGGTCTCACTAACCAGAACACCATGCTGTTACTAACCAGAACACCATGCTGTCACTAGCCAGAACACCATGCTGTCACTAACCAGAACACCATGCTGTCACTAACCAGAACACCATGCTGTCACTAACCAGAACACCATGGTCTCACTAACCAGAACACCATGCTCTCACTAACCAGAACACCATGCTGTCACTAACCAGAACACCATGCTCTCACTAACCAGAACACCATGCTCTCACTAACCAGAACACCATTCTGTTACTAACCAGAACACCATGCTGTCACTAACCAGAACACCATGCTGTCACTAACCAGAACACCATGCTGTCACTAACCAGAACACCATGCTGTCACTAACCAGAACACCATTCTGTCACTAACCAGAACACCATGCTGTCACTAACCAGAACACCATGCTGTCACTAACCAGAACACCATGCTGTCACTAACCAGAACACCATGCTGTCACTAACCAGAACACCATGCTGTCACTAACCAGAACACCATGCTGTCACTAACCAGAACACCATGCTGTCACTAACCAGAACACCATGCTCTCACTAACCAGAACACCATGCTCTCACTAACCAGAACACCATGCTGTCACTAACCAGAACACCATGCTGTCACTAACCAGAACACCATGCTCTCACTAACCAGAACACCATGCTGTCACTAACCAGAACACCATGCTCTCACTAACCAGAACACCATGCTGTCACTAACCAGAACACCATTCTGTCACTAACCAGAACACCATGCTCTCACTAACCAGAACACCATGCTCTCACTAACCAGAACACCATGCTCTCACTAACCAGAACACCATGCTGTCACTAACCAGAACACCATGCTGTCACTAACCAGAACACCATGCTCTCACTAACCAGAACACCATGCTCTCACTAACCAGAACACCATGCTCTCACTAACCAGAACACCATGCTGTTACTAACCAGAACACCATGCTGTCACTAACCAGAACACCATGGTCTCACTAACCAGAACACCATGCTGTTACTAACCAGAACACCATGCTGTCACTAGCCAGAACACCATGCTGTCACTAACCAGAACACCATGCTCTCACTAACCAGAACACCATGCTGTCACTAGCCAGAACACCATGCTCTCACTAACCAGAACACCATGCTCTCACTAACCAGAACACCATGCTGTAACTAATATATGAACAACGTGTTATCACTAATCAGAAAATTGTTCAAAATAACTAATAACAATCCCGTTCTTTGATTAATCAGAACACTATGCTATAACCAATCATACCACACTTCTGTAACTAATCACAACACCTTGCTATATCCAATCATACTACCGTGCTAAAACAAATGATAAACACAGTTAACAGTGATGTGACTTATCATATTGCAGCTCCAGATCTAATCATACCATCGTTCCTTAACTAATCATAACTCACATTCATATCTAATCACAACATATAACTAACAATACCACTGTACAATGTTGTTATCACCATCATGTGACAGACTCTAACTGTTCAATGTATGACAGACGTGTGGTGTGACTCAAACTGTTCCATGTATGACAGACGTGTTGTGTGACTCTAACTGTTCCATGTATGACAGACGTGTGGTGTGCATCTAACTGTTCCATGTATGACAGACGTGTGGTGTGACTCTAACTGTTCCATGTATGACAGTTGTGTGGTGTGACTCTAACTGTTCCATGTATGACAGACGTGTGGTGTGACTCTAACTGTTCCATGTATGACAGACGTGTGGTGTGACTCTAACTGTTCCATGTATGACAGACGTGTGTTGTGACTCTAACTGTTCCATGTATGACAGACGTGTGGTGTGACTCTAACTGTTCCATGTATGACATACGTGTGTTGGGAATCTAACTGTTCCATGTATGACAGACGTGTGGTGTGACTCTAACTGTTCCATGTATGACAGACGTGTGGTGGGACTCTAACTGTTCCATGTATGACAGACGAGTAGTGTGACTCTAACTGTTCCATGTATGACAGACGTGTTCTGTAACTCTAACTGTTCAATGTATGACAGACGTGTGGTGGGACTCTAACTGTTCCATGTATGACAGACGTGTGGTGGGACTCTAACTTTTCCATGTATGAGAGACGTGTGGTTTGACTTCACTGTTCCATGTATGACAGACGTGTGGTGGGACTCTAACTGTTCCATGTATGACAGACGTGTGGTGTGACTCTAACTGTTCCATGTATGACAGACGTGTGTTGGGAATCTAACTGTTCCATGTATGACAGACGTGTGGTGTGCCTCTAACTGTATTATGTATGACAGACGTGTGGTGTGCCTCTAGCTGTTCCATGTATGACAGACGTGTACTGTAACTCTAACTGTTCCATGTATGACAGACGTGTGGTGTGCCTCTAACTGTTCCATGTATGACAGACGTGTGGTGTAACTCTAACTGTTCCATGTATGACAGACGTGTGGTGTGCCTCTAACTGTTCCATGTATGACAGACGTGTGTTGTGCCTCTAACTGTTCCATGTATGACAGACGTGTGGTGTGCCTCTAACTGTATTATGTATGACAGACGTGTGGTGTGACTCTAACTGTTCCATGTATGACAGACGTGTGTTGTGCCTCTAACTGTTCCATGTATGACAGACGTGTGGTGTGCCTCTAACTGTATTATGTATGACAGACGTGTGGTGTGCCTCTAACTGTTCCATGTATGACAGACGTGTGGTGTGACTCTAACTGTTCCATGTATGACAGACGTGTGGTGTGCCTCTAACTGTATTATGTATGACAGACGTGTGGTGTGACTCTAACTGTTCCATGTATGACAGACGTGTTTTTTTACTCTAACTGTTCCATGTATGACAGACGTGCGGAGTGACTTTAACTGTTCCATGTATGACAGACGTGTGGTGTGACTCTAACTGTTCCATGTATGACAGACGTGTGGTGGGACTCTAACTGGTCCATGTATGACAGGCTCGGGTGGGACTCTAACTGTTCCATGTATGACAGACGTGTGGTGGGACTCTAACTGTTTCATGTATGACAGACGTGTGGTGGGACTCTAACTGTTCCATGTATGAGAGACGTGTGGTTTGACTTCACTGTTCCATGTATGACAGACGTGTGGTGGGACTCTAACTGTTCCATGTATGACAGACGTGTGGTGTGACTCTAACTGTTCCATGTATGACAGACGTGTGGTGGGAATCTAACTGTTCCATGTATGACAGACGTGTGGTGTGCCTCTAACTGTATTATGTATGACAGACGTGTGGTGTGCCTCTAACTGGTCCATGTATGACAGACGTGTACTGTAACTCTAACTGTTCCATGTATGACAGACGTGTGGTGTGCCTCTAACTGTTCCATGTATGACAGACGTGTGGTGTAACTCTAACTGTTCCATGTATGACAGACGTGTACTGTAACTTTAACTGTTCCATGTATGACAGACGTG